AGCGCTCTGGTCCCCCCCCCCCCCCACGGGAACTGTGTTTTGCAATTCACTGCTCTCCATGGGCACTTGTTGGACTTGGAGGTGTCCCACACCTCCTCCCCTGGAGATGGAGTCTGTGTCCCCTGGGTGGGACTGCGGAGGAATGACACTGGCCAGGTGGAGGGATTGTCACTGGCCAGGTGGCTACCAGCAAGCTGTGGCCGGGGTGGCAAGGAGGAGGGGGGAAGAGGCATGATGACAACCTCCTCAGCAAGGAAACAAGGCCCTGTTGCTGTGCACCTCCTTCGACTGTGCATGCACCTTCGCTTAAAAGTCACGAGGGAAACTTAGGCAAAAAGCTGCTGGATGCGGACAAAAATGCGGAGAGCATCGGAAATGAATCAGCTGCAAAACCTCTTGATGTAGCTGTGTAGTCCCACTTTTGTAAACTTTGTTTTAACATTGACAAGGGCTGTGGCAGGGGTTCCCTACAGCTGTGGTCCCATAGCTGGGTCTCTCCTGTGCATTCCCAATGCGTTCCTGAAGTTTTCTGTGCAGTTAGATAGTCTGATGTGCCAACAGGTCATAGAGTGTGTCTCCGCTTTGCAGGCACACAGTCAAACTGGCAAAATGATATCGCTGTCACATCTTTGTTGCTGAGCCTAAGTGTGCCACTTCCCAAGACTGTAGAGGGACAGTTAGTGGACAGAGCCACAGACTGTCCTTTTGTACTTCTCTGCTTTGCTCAGCTAAAACAGAGCGTTTCTCATAAAGTTTGCTTCCCTGCCGTAAAAATAAATACCATGATAACTTAGAGGCTGTAATGTGCCAACAGAACTGTGCTACAACTCTTGCTTCGGCTTGATGAACAGGTGTGTTTTCCCTTGTTTTGTATTAATTAGGGTGTATTTGGTGAGGCTGTTGATATGTCCTTCTCACAGCACTTCTAGATGTCCCCCTCTAACATCTGGGGAGACCTGAAAATCTCTCTCTTGTTCAGTGGATATTTGACAATGGATTGTATTGAACAGGACAAGAAAGACTAGCTCTCTCACTAATACGGAAAGACATGATCTTTTCACTGTTTAGAACTTGTTCAGCAAATTTGCACATTTTCACCTCAAGATACTGTCAATTTTCAGCACAATGTCCTGTCCACCATCCTTTGTATTTTCTTACATTTGTATTTGACTTTATTACTTGGGGCAGTAAATATTTTCCTAGGGAAGACCATCTTAACAATCTGAAGTCTATTTGTCCTTACAAAGATAAGATTTTTAAGGGCTAATCTCTTCTTCTGTTTATGTTACTGCATGCATCTATCTATCTATCTATCTATATCTATATCTATAGTATATATTAATAGGCTATAGATTATAGTGCAGAATACAACTTTGGAATAGCGAGGCAAATGAATTAGATTTCCTGTCATTCATTACGATGTCAGAACTCTACTCCTGCTCTGATCACCAATTCTCTATTCCTCGATATGTCTCTTGTCATTTATTTGTGCTAAGTGAATACTGGATTATTATGCCCTTCTGGATTATGTACAAGGTTTACACACACATGCGCATGTACTCGCTGTGCCTTATACTCCTACTCTTAAGAGATGACTGCAAGACTTCCTGTATTCTTATGCTCTGTTGGTGACAGGTAGAGAGGGCTATAAATGTTGGCTGCTTAGGCAGTATTTTACCTGGAAACAAGAACAATTTGCTTGGGAAACCCTACAATTTTCTCATGCAAAGAGCTGAGATTCGTTTAGGAAGCGCAGAACATGTCAACGTGCAGAGGATGCTGTGCATTTCTGTAGGCAGAGGTGCTTCGGGATGTCAGAACTGTTTAAATTTAAAATGTGTATAGCAACAGGGAACCACTGGGAGGAAGAATGGTAATAAAGAATGATGCAGAAAGACAGACATCCTTTAATGATTGTTCATTTAGGAAACTCTGCTCCAGTAGGATACGTGGTTAGCCTTTCAGAAGTTTATTAATAGTTACTATCTGCATTTTGCCAAATACACTTTTCTTCTATTTTGCGTATCTCTTCAGTGCTGGAATAGCTTAGTGATGTTATCTGTTCTGTTGGTTGTCTGTAAAAGTGAGCATGGAAAGTTTTTCTTTAATTTCTTATTTGTACTAGAAGAGTTTGGTTCACAGGGGAAAAATTACTTTCTATACGTAAGTTCTGAGGAAATTAAGAAAGGATTTCCTCTCTGTGGTATTGTTTCCTGCACGGGGCAGTGTTCTTAAGTGTTCGTATGAATCTTCTATGATGGATTTTATTTTTAATCTAACCTGGTGTATGCTCTCACATAGATTTCCTTCTCCCTCTCAGACCTTCCAGGCAGACTTCAAGAAGCACATGCGTTGTACACATTAGTGAACGTGCTTTAGTCAGTAAGTGTCCCTGTAAAAGTGCGTCTTTCATATCTAAACAACAATCTCAGGCTGAATTTTAAGAGCGATTGAATTAAATACTTTGTTGCCTATTCTGGAGTGGTAAATTTATCCCCTCAAACTTCTCTTAAAAGAAGTATAATGGCAATCAGTGGACCACGAAGTCTAGCAATACGCACAGGATAGCGTATTTGCGTCCAACTAAATCGTGCTCCTCGAGATTGCCGCGCTAGCAACGTGTCTGAAACGATTACCTCTTTACTGCGTTGATCTAAACTACTGTGGCTTTAATGTAATCAAAGGCAGTTCTGTTTGGCCAGGGAACGCGATCCAGCTGCAGTCGGCGGCCTGGTGGAGGCTGTTGTGTTTGCCGAGGGACGGCGCGAGCGGAGCTGAGCCGTGCGCCGAGCCCGGCGCCGCACGTGGCCGTGGTGCTGAACTGGACAGCTCCCGCCGCCGCGCTCCCTGGCTCGCCTCCGCGGCCGAGCGACCGCCGCCGCCCCTTGTTTCCTTTAACTACCCATTACTGAAGAGCTGCTTTGACTGAACTCTGAAAAATACTGAAAGCCTTCCATGCTAGGAGAAACAGTGCGGTCTAGTCAACTTTCACGTTTCCTCTAATCTCTGTCATTTTGCTTTTATTAGCTGGTGATAGGGGGTCGTTGCGAATTTGTCGATCCGAGCAAGAGAAAACAAAGCAAAAGATGATCAACCGACCAGAAAGAGTTTTTTAGCTGTGACCTAAGAATTTTCTTCCGCTCTCCAGGTGCAATGTTGTTCTATTCTACCTTTTTAACTGACCCGACAAGGAAATTAACAACTGCAGATGCTACCACGTTTGAGGACTCTGCTCTTAAAAATCCAATAGCAGAACAGAAATACCCTGTTTTCACAAATTTTTGGTCACATTTGAATTCTGAAAAAGTTTTTAGGTGATCAAAATGAACTAATAAGCTCCTCTTGGCTCTCAGCACTTGCTAAATTTATTTCAGGATTCTTCTCACTTAAGAGTTAGTATCATTTCCCATCCATTTCCAGTTACCCAGCCAAAATGATGACAGGGAGTGAATTAATCCAGTTCTTCATCCAGCTACTTGTCTTTTATGTGATACACTGTAGAATGCACTACTGAATTAGTCAAGAGGCTGGATATGACATACAAAACCACGAAATTTTGAAAGCAAAATGTTATTTCTAGGATTCATATTAATTTTTAATGCCATTTTCTGCAGGTTTATAGGAGCGAACAAACTATTTATATATAAGCAGGTGCTGGCACTGTCAAAATGTGTTATTGGTATGGATATCACTCCATCATTTAGGCCTTAAAGGGTGATAGTCATACTTGATTTAACACCACTGAGCTCTAGTAAACACTGAATATTTCTGGAGGCTTGTGTAGAATGTAAAGAAATGAAAGCTGTTTATGTCACCCTAAAATGAACTGAAAAAAACAAACAGATTGAGGGTTTTTATTTATTTATTTTTTTCTCAGAAGCGACCGTGTAAGATGAGCAAAATGCAGACAGAATGTTTGCTGCGAATTGGAAGTCTCTTCTTCTAACTTTTAGGCTATTAATATCAGTCTCTAATCTACTGTAAGCAGTGACTGAACTGTTCTGGTGAACAGAGACAAAATATTTTTGAAGAATGTGGTGCAGTACCTGTAATGATGAATGGAATATCCACCTACTGACAGTTGTTTGGCTACTTAGTAGCTAACCACTTACGAGCTGGCTACATCCAGATGAGAGGATTACTTACTTCTAGCAGATGGTTGCCTGACAGGGAGTTTGATCCTGCATTAATGAACTAAGCAAACACATGCTCATACCCGTTTCAGGATAGTAGTTAAGTCTCCATAGCCTTTCTTTGCTGCATCCATTCGCCTTTCTTTGCTGCATCCATTCACCTTTCTGCAAAATGGGTATAAAAATACTCACCAAGTGAGTGTTGTCATGTCTCCAATTTGGGTTAGAGAAAAAAAATCTTTTTAAGTGTGAATTGTTAGGTCAGTATTGCGTCTTCTTTAATGCCATCTCCTGGTGTTCAGACTCTGCTCTTGATTTTTGATAGATAGCAATATTTAAAGGCAGTCTATTGAAAAGCTTTGAGTAGGGAATCATGGCAGATGGACAATTTGCAATGGAAAGAAAGAGAGGAAAGGAAGAAAAGATACAAAAAGGGAAAGAGAGAGAAAAAAGACACCCATACTTTGGTAAATTAATTGCTGCTTTTGTGACTTGCCAGGATTGTGAAGGTCATATTTCATTTAAAACTCTCGTATTATTGCATTCAGGTGAAAGCAGAGAGCAAGATTTTCTGCTGGTGTCAATGCTTGTAGATCTCCTGAAGTAATAAAGCTATTCCAATTCACACTATCCAATTCACACTAGCTGAAGCTTCAGTGGGGCATATTGGATGATGAGGGCTTGCAATATCTGCTGCTTGGTATCTCCAGGGCAAAGAAGAGGTCAGCTTCAGCGTTCCAAATGAAGATGCACTCTGCGCCAGAG